GACCATGTCTGGCAAAGAAAGCTTTGTCTGGATGGGCTAGACGGAAGTTAAAAAAGGCAAAAGCTAAGACAAGCAAAGCAAGAACTGGGAGCAGTCAGCAACCAGGAAATGCAAGCTCATCCAAGCAGGGAGAAACCCACACCGGCACCTTTAAGAGGCCAAGGTCAGAGGGCAGTAACCCCACAGAAACGGCCAGAACTCTGAAAGAAACCCAGGGACTTACAAGGAGGCTCTGACCAATATAAAGGTAGTTATCTTCAAGGACACTTACCCTGAGGATAAGCTTACCGAAGACGACCAAAATTCCATTCTGGAAGCATTGGGCGAGGTGTTACGTAAGACTCCAAAGGAAGAAATACCACACCTGAAATCCTACAGACTGCTGGGAGGTGCACTTATCTATATATGTACCAACCAACAGTCTGGTCAATGGCTCATCAAAGCCTTTGACAACCACAGGCTCAAATTAGGGAGCAGGCTGAAGGCTACGACTGGGGACAAAATTGCCCAAAACCAGGAAGAGCTGCTGAAATGGATTGCAGACCTTAATCTGGGACTTCATACAGAGAACTGGAGTGTACTAAACAAGCAATCAGAGTCAAAAGGCCAAAGGCTCATCTTATTCATTGACCGGGACTATTATACAGGGGACCGGTTACAAAATATTTACAGGACTCTCACAGGGGACTGTTAAGGTGCTGGATGATCCTGAAGTTCAGCGCCGGGTAGAACCCGTGACAGACACTGCATCTTCTAACTCAGTCTCTGAGGAGGAAGGGGATGAGATACCCAGCTTCCCGGATGACCAAAGCAAAACGGATCAGGGGACTCCTTCACACGGAACCTAGTCCGAGAACGGAGAGGGACATACGATGGAAATTGACGCCTCCTCAATTGGAAGAGATCATGAAATTTCTTCAGATCAACCTACACCACAGCAAAGCTGCCACGGCAGCTCTGTGCCAACAGCTAGCTCAGGGTAAGGCAGACACAGCACTTATTCAGGACCTTTGGATATACAAGGGTCAAATAAGGAGCTTAACTAATACAGAGGGAACAGTTTACTTTTACTCCTTCACACGGAACCCAGTCCGAGAATGGAGAGGGACATACGACAGAAATTGACCCCTCCTCAATTGGAAGAGATCACGAAATTTCTTCAGATCAACCTACACCACAGCAAAGCTGCCACGGCAGCTCTGTGCCAACAGCTAGCTGAGGGTAAGGCAGACATAGCACTTATTCAGGACCTTTGGATATACAAGGGTCAAATAAGGGGCTTAACTAATACAGAGGGAACAGTTTACTTTGTTGTACCCAGTAATAATGCAAGATCTTGTGTTTATATCAGGAATCATGTTAATGCCTTGCCTTTGCTGGAGCTCTGTTCTAGGGATACAACAGTGGTAAGGATAACATACCCGTATCGAGAAGGCAGCAAGGAGCTGATTGTTGCTTCAGTCTACCTTCCATATGACTCGAATGAACCACCACCAACTAAGGAAATGAGGGACATCATAGACTACTACTACTACTACAACTCATCATTGGGTGTGATGCCGACGCACACCACATCTTGTGGGGGAGCACCGGCACTAATCCAAGGGGAGAGAGCCTTATGGAATTTCTGGTGAGTTCGAACCTGAATATTTTAAACCATGGTAACGAACCTACCTTTGAGGTTTGCAATAGGAAGGAGGTAATTGATTTGACACTAGGTACAAACAACATAGGAAACCTGGTAAGTAACTGGCATGTATCTGATGAGCCGTCCCTATCGGATCACAGATATAAATGCTTTAAAATAAGTAACATTACAGTAGATCAAGGTACTTATAAGAATCCTAAGAGAACCAATTGGGAGTCTTACAAAGATGACCTAAAGGTAAATCTAGAGACCCTCTTGCATACTATATGCACAATAAAGGATGTTGATTGGTCCGTTGACCAGTTGCAACGGGCTATTATCTCGTCCTTTAATCAGAATTGTCCGGCTGAGACCACTCGCGGACCAAGGAGAACGCCTTGGTAGAATAAACAGCTGAGTGGGCTTAGGATCAAAACAAGAAGGCTGTTCAATACAGCTAAAAGAAGAGGGCAGTGGGACACCTATAAGGAAGCCCTTAACTGTTACAACAAAGAAATAAGGAAAGCCAACTGATTCTCATGGAGGAGACAGTGCCAGGAGATCAATTATGTACTAGGCGGTGCCAGACCCATGAAAATCATGGCAAAACAGGTGACCAAGAAGATCAGCACAATTAACCTGCCTAACGGACAGTATACTCAAACAGGAAGGGAAACAATGAATGAATTATTCAGGTTCACTTTCCTCACTCAAAATTGACTGACAATTTGGACGATGGACAGGGTCAGCAAAACCTGGACACTTGGCAAAGCAAGACTAACAGGGTAGACTGGAACCTGGTCAAAGTCATAATTAATCAAAAAAAATCAGATGGTCACTGAAGACTTTTAGACCATTTAAATCAGTGGGAACAGATGGAATTGTACCAGAACTTTTGCGGCATGGGGCGAAACTTTTAGTTCCACATCTATGCCGCATATATAGAGCCTGCATGGCATATGGCTTCATCCCCACAGCCTGGATGCAAGTTAAGGTGATGTTTATTCCAAAACCTGGGAAACTTGATTATACCAATGCTATGACTTATCGTCCTGTCGTCTTTCTTGTTGAAAATGATGGAGAAACTAGTGGATAGGCATATCAGGGACGGGGTATTGAGGACATATCCTCTACACCAAAACCAACATGCCTACCAAACAGGTAAATCTACTGAAAGTGCACTACACAATGTGGTAACACGCATAGAATGTGCAACTGAACACAAGGATATTGCCTTAGGAGCATTCCTTGACATAGAGGGAGCTTTTGATAGAACCTCATCTGATATAATCAAACAGGCTGCTGGAAGGCATGGCATAGAGCCTGCAATATGCAGATGGATCAATGCTATGCTGGAAAGCAGAACCATAGCTGCTACATTATCAAGAGAAACCCTGGGGACGTCCGCATCAAGGGTATGTCCAGAGGGGGCGTACTTTCGCCTCTGCTGTGGAGTCTGGTGGTCGACGATCTCCTGTGGGGACTTAATGATGATGGGTATTATACAGTAGGATATGCTGATGACATAGCAATCCTCATAAACAGAAAATTCCTTTCGACCATACCAGAGTGTCTTCAAACAGCTCTGTACATGGTTCAACGATGGTGTGAAAGAACAGGTCTTTCTATCAATCCCAATAAGACGGTAATTATACCGTTTACTAGGAAGAGAAATATAAAGGGTCTTAAGGAACCAACTCTCTTCAATAAGACAATCCAGCTCTCCAACGATAAGTACCTTGGTCTAGACTTAGACAAGGGACTGACATGGAAAAAGCAGCTTGTCAAAGTCAGTAACAAAGCCTATAAGGCGTTTTGGACATGTAGAAGCATGCTTGGTAAAACTTTGGGACTGCAGCCACATGTTATACATTGGATATATACTGTGGTTGTGAGACCCATAATTACTTAAGGTGCCACAGTATGGTGACCCAGAGTTGAACTCAAGACAAGCAAGACGGAACTTAGCAAATTGCAGAGGTTGGCTTGCTTAGGTATCACAGGAGCATTTCGAACATCTCCAACAGCTGCACTAGAGATACTCCTTGGACTCCCCCCATTGCATTTACAGTTGGAGGCAGAGGCCAGGGCAGGAATTTACTGTCTCCAGTTCAGTGAACAATGGAAACCTAGACCTGATGGTTTTGGCCATGCATACATGACTCAGGACATGAAAAAAGAACCCATATTACAAATGTGGTCTGTCAAAATGATACTGAGACATGTATATGAAAAACCCTTCATGGTGAGATTTCCTGAGAGGAGTGAATGGAAGGACGGGTTTCGACCCGATAGAAAAGGGGGGACTGATCTGGTATACAGATGGTTCCAAGACAAATAAGGGCACTGGTGCTGGTGTGTACTGCCATGGCACGAGACGGAAACTTGGTTTCAGACTTGAGCAGTATACGACAGTACTCCAGGCAGAAGTATATGCCATTAAAGCATGTATTATGGAGAACTTGAATACGAACTATTGAAATAGGAACATCTACATTCTATCTGACAGCCAAGCTGCACTTAAAGCGCTTGACAAACACCAGATCAATTCAAACTTGGTCTGGGATTGCCACCAAACACTCATGGAACTGGCCAAACATAACAGGGTACAACTGATATGGGTGCCGGGGCATGAGGGTATTGCTGGAAATGAAGCAGCAGACCAATTAGCTAAAACTGGAGATGAACATCCGTTCATAGGACCTGAACCAGCCTGTGGCATCTCTCTAGGAGTTGCCAAACAGGCAATCAGGGACTGGACTAACATAATATATAAGAAATACTGTGAATCCTTAACTGGACTCATGCAAGCTAAGGGACTCATGAGGACCTTCCACTAAAAGAGAGAGAGAACTGTTGAAGCTAAACAGGAACCAGCTACGATGGGTAGTAGGACTACTTACAGGACACTGTCACCTCAAAGGACACCTGTTCAAACTGGGTCTAAGTGATAGAACGCACTTGTGAGAGGTGTCACACAGAAAACGAAACAGCCACACACATCCTGTGTGAATGTGAGGCTTTAGCTTATTTAAGACTACGTCTCTTGGGTCAATACTTTATGGAACCAATTGACTATTTTGATGCCCCCACGTCCAAAATCCTGCCCTTCATTTGAAGCGCAGGGTTGCTGAGGGAATTAAAGAAAGGGAAGCATAATAGTCCACTGAGGTCGCGGTGCAAGGGCCGAGAAGGCCTACCCCTCATACATTCATTCATTCATATTAACTATTTAGGCAGGACTTTGCCATATGTTACAAAAATGGAAACCACCAATTTTTGTGTTGTGTCTTGCTTATTAAACACATTCGGTGCCCACAGACTCAGAGGTATGGTGACGAGGCCAACAACTTAAACCACATGTAGTAAGTACCAAAATATGTCTCTTTTCCTGCAACTTCAGTATTTTCTCAGCATTGATGTCTTCCATGATTCTTTTTTTTTGAGTCATAAAGTTCAGGTTGGCCTCCTTCAAGGCTATTTCCTTGAACACTCTCTTGTTTTCATTGTACAGCTTTACAAACTGAGATTTGATTTCCTCCATCTGGAAATTGAATGCCTGAGCTGCAACATACAATAAAATGGGTCACTTCATGTCAACTGAACACAGCAGCTGTTGTTATCATGTTGGATTCCGATTAGGTAAATATATTGGGTTGGATAAGAAAGTGATACATATGAAAATTTACTTCCCTGAAAGTACCCCAAAAAACATTTTATGATCATTTTGGTACCTTTCTGAAAAATTCATATTGGGATGATGAATGGGGACAGGAGGTAGCAAAATTGGAATGGACTAACTTCATACTGTAATACACAACATTACCAATGATATCTGTGAGATTTATTAAGGTTAATTAATATGGGAATAGTGAAATGTACATTAGTGAAAGTTTCTCATACATAATGTCAATCAGAACTCTGGAAATGTTGATGAGATATGTGGGCAAGTGCATTTGTAGCCTTATGCAAACTAGGCTTTATTATTAATCCATGTGGCTGAAAATCGAATTGCCTAACAGCTTTCAGTGGAAGTGTCACATCTGAAAATCAGAAATGCCTGACAACTTTTGGTGGTATCCATCCATACTAAATTTCAACAAAATCTGTTAAATGTTTTCATTAGATACATGGAAAATGTAACATATATGGCCTTATATCATCTTCACTTTGTTATAGATGAACATGGCTTGAAATCGGAATTGCCTGAAATCATTTGGAAGTTTCCCTTGTTAGATTTCAACATAACCTGTGAAAAGAGAAAAATTCAGTTATCTCCTTCTGTAATCTTGGCTTTACTGTGGATCAGGACCCCAGAGAATATCAAAGAATTCTTAAAAGGAACCAAAAAATAAAACAAACTAAGAGGAAACAGCCATGGAAGGAATAAAGCATATAAAAGTGGCATCCTATAATATCCAAGACATGGTATATGACCCACCCATTTGGCTGAATGGAATAGTGCTCTGGCCCTTTCAAATGAAACAGAAGAAGTAGAGAAATCAAAGAAGGGAGTATAATGGACTTGCTTCTCTGTAACATTAAGAGCCTTGAAATATTTAAAAAAAATGCTGAATAATAGCTTCAAAATCTCTAACACAGTTATGTTGATAGAAATGTTCCTATTGAAAGTCTGGAATGGACACAATATGCATACATTTAATATTCAAGCCATGCAAGGTCACACAAAAAAGTCAGTGTGGAATTTCATTCCAAGTTAAACTATCTTGTACTTCAGAATGGAAGAACTCCAGGGCCCAAGTCTCAGCAAGCTGTATGAAATGCTTCAGCCAGCTGGATCTGGAAACACATACATTGAAATCCATGCTAGTTGGACCAACAGGCAACAGGACCAGACCCTCTAGGAAACTGAACTTATGAATTTGATTTGGTCCATCCTGGTCTGTCAGACTAGCAATATTATAACAAGTTAACAACTTTGTCCAGTGTGACTGATAAGTGTTTTCTTTTTATCTTTTTAATCTTGCATCCTTCTCATGTTTTGGTCTGAGAGACCATCTTCAGAAGCCCAGGCCGCTTTACCTCCAGTACCCATTGGATAGGAGGTTGGGTGGGTCCCAGAGCCGATCTGGACTTGGAGAAAATTCTTGTCCCTAGTGGGGCTCGAACGCCGACCCCTCAGCCATCTAGCTTGTAGCCAGTCGCTATACCGATTACTCTATCCAGGCTCCAAGAAAAAAAATGAGTACTTGAGGAGGTCAACTCAGCCTCTAACAGAAATGAGTACCAGGAATCTTCCTGGGGGTAAAGGGCAGCTGGAGCATAAGGTTGGCAGCCTTACTGCCATCTGTGAGTTGACTGTCTAAAGAAAATGTTTGAGTCTCGACGTCTCACAACCCTACAGGCCTTCACAGCCTGTTACAGGGATGGCTTTACATTTACCTTACAAATCCCTGAATAGCAGTCTGGCTTAATGCCTGACAGATCTACCAGCACATGATCATAAATCTCTTAGCTGGCACAGAAGAACCCCCACAGTACATGCAAGGATGAATATAGGAATCTACTGAGTTCACCTTGGCTTTCAACAACATCCTGAGGGTCACATTCATAAAAAAGCTAGAAAAAGAAATAAGAAAGGAAAGTACTTGCTAGCGCTTATATTTGGAAATATGCTATCATATGGAACAATCAAAATTAATAATGGTAGAGATACCTCATTGACTCTTTTGCAGACAAGCAGGGTGCTACAGGGCCTGGTGCTATGGTGTTATTTTGCATTGCCTCATTAGATGCCACTAAATCTCTTAAGGCCTATTTAGGTGGTATAAAGATGTATATACACATTAGTGATATAGTTATCACTATCACAGGCGAAGTAGATTTACAAATGCTGTGGCCAGCTGGCAGCCTGGGTGAACAAAAATTACTTTCTACAAACAATAGGAAAACAAAAACAATGAAATGCAGGAGAGTACGAAGGATTGGAGAAGAGAGAGGCATCCACTGTGATTGAAAGAAATTGGAATCAGTTTCTAGCTTCAAGGATTTTGGTGATACACTGCAGACAGCAGAAGCTGCCTTTTCACTCTGGTACCAAATTATGAACTGTGGCTATAAAGTACTGGGCGGCATTAACAACCTACAAAAACTCTCACTGAATACTACTTTGAAGGTCTTCAAGCCAAGAGTCATGTATTCATTTACATACAGATTTGGTCTAATCTGGGTATAACTAACTACATTTTAAAAAACTGGAAAACTCTCGTCGCATCAGTTTCTTACTACATATAGAAGTAAAGTAAAGGAATCCCTGTAACAGGTTGTGAAGACCCATAGGGTTGTGAGACATTGAGAGTCTCCCACATTATCTAGACAATCAGCTCAAAGATGGCGGTAAGATTGTCAGCCTTACGCGCCACTGCGCTTTACTCCCCAGGAAAATTATTTAATTAATTCCTGGTGCTCATTTCTGTTAGAGGCTGAGTCGACCCCAGGACCATAGTGCGGCTGGAAGGATTAGGTCAACTGAAAAAAAATCCAATGACCTCATCGGGACTAGAACCCATGACCTTCTGGCTTGTAGCATAGTGCCTCAACCATGCTACCGCGTACTCCCTCTTACTACATATATAAAGTATAATTATGGGATTTCTTGGTGTGAATGTTCTGTTGCTGTAATGCATGTTTACTAATGTCCAGGTTGCCATCTGTTGCACAACACAACTTCCTCCAGTAATCCAGTTACTACGTATTAAGGGAAACTCCAGCAGGAATTCACAGTCTCAAATGACACAGTTCAGAGTAACGTAAAATCAGTGGATGAATTCAGATATGAAATATGAAGTCTGACACAGTGCAAAATGCTATCTGAAACTGTGAAAGAAATTTATATTCCTAGTTAAATTTGTAAGGACATGCCAGGCAGAATGTTTCTGTTAATGCAGAAGGTAACATGATTCCTCTGAAAAATTACTGATACTATGTAAGTCAGAAGAAACAGAACAGAGGAATATCTAAGGTACAAAATCCTTAAAAAGGTCTTAGGTTCTTCAAAGTTTACAAGATCATGGCTTAAAGAAAACTGTGTTACTTGAAATTAGTGGTGATCAAGCAGCTGTGTGCGCAATCCACCAGGACATAAAACACAGTTTTAAGAATAGTCGTATACTCTTATAGAAGTTGATTTATTGCTTATAATATCAAATTAAAAATGCAGAAAGCGGAATAAAATGAATGTTCGTAGTCGTAGTTGTGAACGGTGTATTCACAATAAAAAAATGAAAACGAGTCTCCCGTTCCTTACTTCAGTCTTGTATGTGAACTAAATATGACAATTAATTAATAAATACTGTTTCCCGATTCGCAACACAAACCTTCGAAACTACCATAAAATAGCGAGTGAAATTACCAAAAATAACGGTCACTGAGGAACAGTACATGCTTGTTATTTATAACTGTCACTTTCATTCAAAAATACGTATTTTTGGTAGAGAGAGCTTTGTTACTATTCTTTTGCAAATGTGGATTGGAAAATTACGTCTCCTTCTTAATATCAATCGACATAAGAAAACAAATAATAATATGTGGGACGTATATTCTTAACAGTTTCCTCTTCATTATGCATTACGATTTGTATCGGAAAGCATCTGAGCAATCATTTATCGTAGGAGCTTAATGATTCATATCAGCAGCAATGAAGGTTATATTTGTAATGTAGTTCAGAAATCGGTCTTATATGAGAAAAAGATCTTTTAAATATACACAAAAGAAACGTTTTACAGTGACAATTTTGTTATACCTTAGGACAAACCTGTAACTATGCTATATAATTTTAGTCGGAAGTGTATGTTTATATCCTTATATGTGAATTTAGTACCTATAATTTCAAATTATACATAGCAGCCAACGGAATGTTCTTAGTTGCAGCTGCAACGGTATATCCACAATAAACAATCACAAGCCTCTTGTTTCGCTTGGGTCGCTTGCGCCCTTCTTCCATCGTATATATAACTCACTAAACATGGCAACGTGATATTCTATTCCAGTTATCAGGCGGCGAGAACTAGGTCGGGCGAAGGGGAAACACGGTAACTACTGCTTCTATGTGTGGAGCGTGTGGAGGCAGATACTACACACAGATATCGACCAATCAGGGAGCCTACACAAACCAATTTGAATTTCCGCAATTATATGCAGTTATGGCAGTTCATAATATGCAAATTGTTAAGTATGAATTTTGTTTTGATGTGGTTGCGAAACGGAAATAGACATTTGAGAACGAAGTTACATCACAATATTAAACATATTACTTGTGTATATGAATATTATGCTTACTACCACAAATGAAATTAGAAATATATAGAATTCTTTCCAGCCCAAAATTTTTAGGTTATGATGAACTGTCATCTAAACGATATTTGTTTTATGATATGTTCTGCAACTTTCGGTTTAGCCCAAAGATTGTCTGTAGAATGTGAAGGAGTTCTAAGAGTATCATGATGGGGTTATAATTTTCGTATTTCTTCTTGCATCATAAAAATGAAAACAAAAACCTGTAGTGCTGCTGGGTGCTTCTCATCCAGCAGGAAAGGAATGAAATCCACCAACTTTGCAAAGGATCCAGCACGGCATGTCTCTTTTAATTCATGGTGTAATTACTTTATTATGTGTTGCTTAATCCAATGAATAAATTGAGTTTAGTACATGCCTGTGTTCAATTTATTCAAACATAACCCCAAAATGTGTACCAAGTTTGTACTGTTTACTGAAGAATTATTTCTAGGTTTTGAGACTATTTGTTCTACTTTTACAGGGCTGCGGTATGGACAGGAAAAGTTGGAATACCTTGCACTATTGATTCTGCTAGAATGCTTTACAGTAAATATTTGTGCAGCAGACATTTCCTGGAAAGTGATTTCACTACAGCTGAAAGGGTATAACTGAACAAAGTGGCAGTTCCATGTGGCTCAGATTCTGCTTCACAGTAATTCCCACAACCTCCTGTCCCTTCCTTGAATCCCTTACCTCACAAAGACTGCTCATGTTGTTTTTCCCACCACCTACAACAAGACACTGGTACCATCCCCTGTAACACATATTCCTATCGTTCCTATCCATGCACATGGTCCTTCCACTTCCTTTAAAATGTCTGCAGTGCAACCATTACCAACAGCAGCCACAAACTTTTGCAGTGAAAGAAACCTTGTTTTACCTAAGCCCTGTAAATATAAATGCTTCTGATGGGGACCTCAGGCATATCAATCATTGCAGCAAGCCACAACACTGTATTGGCTACAGGTAAGGAACATTGCACTCTATACTATGAATTATGTTCCGTTATGAAAGAAGTGGCTAGGAGAATAATGAGAGCCAACTTTCGAAGTGACTGATCCGATAACCCAGTTGTGATCAAACAGACGTCCTTATTATAATCATCCATTACTTATGAAACTTTACGTCAATATACAATCTATATAAATAAAAATGCAACTGTTCGTTTGTTACCGATCTTAAATCTCCGAAAGTTCTTCACCGATTGCTTCGAAATGTTGGCACAACGTTGCATACGAATGCGTGCGTGTTTTTATATACCTATTATATAGATGTCACACCTGTGACAGGTAAAAACATGATTCTTTTGAAAAACAGAATTGGAATTTGGAATTCAGAAGAGTCTCCCCTATGGAAACGCTAGAACAGATCGTTGCATAGGAAGTAACAATAGCGATACTGTATCGAATCACCACGGTTACGAAGAATATACGGAGCGTTCCAACAGAGACAACGCAATAACAATGGGTCGTTGCGTAGGAATCGCGGAATCAATAAAGCAGCGTTTCCGCAGTTATGACAAAGGCTCATTTGCATAGCAGCGGCCGAGGGTTTAAAAGGGGGTTGAATTCATTCACCCAGTCAGTCTTGGAATAGCTGCCGCTGAAGAAGCTTGGAACCTAGACGCCAAGAGGTACAGAAGTATTGGCCGAGAGATTGTGTAACCAGTAACTCTAATATTGCAAGTGGCGATAATTGTAAAGTGTGCAAGTGAATTACAATAAAGATTCGCTATAATTAATACGGCGTAAAGCTATTTGTAGCGTGACATACCCAAACACGCTACATGCATTACTGACGCGTGCAACAGGTCACAGCCACATCAAATTCGTGCATTGTTTGCAATCATATTGACCGCCTGCTTTCCTTCATCTCCAACAGAGTTATGGGAGAAATAAAAATAGCACATGGCTGAAGATATTTTCCGTCGAATACGCAAAGAAAATTCCAACATGAACATGGCTTTCACAACAGAAATCTGCAAAGAAGCGTTGATAATGATTGAGGGTACGGCCTGAGTGCAGCGGGGCTAGGAGCGTTTGGCGGGGCGAGGCGTGCAGCGTGCATCACAAACCCATTTGAATATATTGGCGTGTCCTGGGACGGAGCGTTTTGAGCGGAGCGGGCAGCATGTTGTACTAGCGTGCAGAGGAGCGTGCAGCGTGTATGTCAAACCAGTTTGTGTTTCAGTAGCATTTGGAGCGTTTGGAAGATGTCTTTTGAGGATATAACCGCTGAACGCTAGAGGTGCACTGAGGACACAGCAGCGGCCCGCTGCTGTCCCTGCCATAAGTTGCCCACGCCCCGCTGCACTCAGGCCGTACCATGAAGATTTGTGCTTAGAAATCGCGAACAAAATTCTCAATCGATTGGGAATGCCATCACCGAATCGATCTGCTGCTGCTTCGTTCAATGTAGAATTGCGTCGTGAACAAAATTACAACACGGGTGATCTTTTGTCGTATGTGCAATCAAATATTCCTAAGCTAACGCTTGAGCAAAAAGGCATTTACGATCAAATAATGCAAACTGTCAATAACGGGGTTTCAGAAATCTTCTTCTTAGATGCGCCAGGAGGAACTGGAAAATGTTCCTAAGTAGATTGATTCTGGCAGCAATTCGATCCCAAAATGACATAGCCTTAGCTCTTGCGTCGTCCGGAATAGCTGCGACATTGCTACCAGGTGGAAGAACTGCTCATTCCGCTTTGAAATTGCCATTGAACATGCAATTCATTGAAACTCCCACGTGCAACATTTCCAAAGGAGCAGGCATGGGAAGGGTATTGCAGAAATGCAGACTTATTGTTTGGGATGAATGCACAATGGAGCACAAAAAATCGCTCGAGGCACTTCATCGATCATTGCAAGATTTGCATGGAAACGTCAGACCATTTGGGAACGCATTAATATTGCTTGCAGTAGATTTCAGGCAAACATTACCTGTAATTCCTCGATCGACACCAGCGGACGAAATAAATGCTTGCCTGAAATACACTACTTTGTGACGACACGTAAAGACGTTAAAATTAACTACAAACATGCGTGTCCAGCTGCAGAACGATCGATCAGCTGAGATATTCTCACATCATTTGCTGGAAATTGGGAATGGAAAGGTGCCGGTTGATCTGACCTCAGGACGAATTTCATTGCTTCATAACTTCTGCAATTTAGTGACGTCAAAAAAAGAATTGGTTGAAAAAGTATTTCCCAATATTCAAACCAATTATAAGAATCACGATTGGCTGAGTGAAGGAGCTATTCTTGCGGCCAAGAACAAAGATGTCTACGAACTTAACAATATCATTCAGTCTAATATTCACTGCGAGGCAGTCACATACAAGTCCGTCGACACTGTTGTGGAAGCAGGTGAAGCGGTTAATTATCCAACAGAATTTTTGTATTCACTCGATCTGCAACAGCAACGCGTGGCCGGGTACAGCTAGTTTTATGATAAATCTTATTTTACTGTCTTATTTGCAGCTTTTTAAGTTTTAAATTTTAAACTTAAAGTTAATAAATAGTTTCACATAAGACTGTAAAATAAGATTTGTAATAAAATGGAAGAGTGCAACAGGATGCAACAATACACTCTTATCAATACACAAGTTACATGGAATATGTCAAACGATTTTATGGTAATTCAAAACATTTGAAAAGCAGAACACACTATCAGTAATATGATTTATAACAGAATAAGATGGTAAAGACTTTGCTATGAGCAATAATTTAATTCAATATACAAAATCTTTAAAATGGCAGTCCCAAAGTAAAGTGTGTTATTTTCAAATCTGGAAAAGTATGGTAGTCCATCATGTAAGGAAGCCCACTGATTTTATTTTTAATGTTCTTTCAGGAGGGTGTTGTGGTGAATACCTGACAAGAGCTGTTTGATGATCACCTTATGAACACATTTGGAGCTATTCGTTCATAGTCTGGTTTGGACAATAATCCTACTGTGGAACATTTTGTAGATGCCCTGAAGACTAACATTATCAATGCACTTGCTATCAGAGGTCTTTGTGGAACTGTTTGGGAGTATGATGGTGCTACTGTTCTGGGTAACCTACAGTCATTGTTCAGGGCACCTGATGTTTCTTCACTAAATCCGTCCATAAGTCATGGCAAGGAAACCCCTGATGATGTTCCTAAGAGTTTCCATGTAACTGAACAAGTACAAAAGGAAAATTGTTGCTTCAGTACATACTGGTGACATGGAAGTGGTCTCAGTAGCCTATGTCAGTGGTTCCATTGCCAGACAGGTGCTTTGTGGTGTCAGCTATGATGCATGCAAGACATGCCTGATATCTGAAGTGCTGCTATGAGCCAATTTCTTCATATATTTCAAGGAGTACAGGGATACAGAACAGTCTCTCACATGTCCTTCTGAGACATTGGTCTGGAGATTGCTGATACGCTGTAAATATAATGGAGTTTACGATGGAAGGCACTTCAATTCATGTTGCTGCATATCACAGCTGCCATTAAGAGCACCATTGACTTGGAGTGGATTAGGTGTACTGGTTGTTCATCTCAGTACCGATGAATAGTGGACGGTATTGTGAGATGTCTCACAAGAATTTACATTCCTTGATGGTGTAAGCAAACAGACAGGTTGATGACTGAAGCAGCCAGACAGAGGACCACTGAGAGGAAGCTGAAGATACTTACACATCAGTAAGTCGTTAGGAAAGTAATGCTTCTTCATATTTGCCTTGTAATATCCTGCCCATACTAGCCCTGAAAATCGGCAGGGAGCAGTTATTGAATTACTAGAATAATATATGCCAACTGCTAACATGACTTCAACAGATGTTTCGTAAGTTGGAGAAAGGAACCCTGGTGACAAGCAACTGCAACCACCATACCTTCATATGCTCTTGTCTCAAACCTTTGGTACTGAGTAATTTTTTGGTAACATTGTCACCTACAGTCAGATTACATACAAGAAACCAAATCTGATCTTCAGCTCCATCACTTCCTTGCTTTGGAGACCTGTTTCCTTCTCAGTATATTAGAACATCATTGTCAGAAGATGGTCAGAGTTCATTCTGCCTTGTATCTTTAACACTTTGTGGACATGAAAGTTTGCGAGCTATTGGCAAACAAGATAAGAAAAGAGCTAAGTAGCCCAGTAGATTTAATTATACCTTGCACTGGCGCCAGGCAGACACATGACTGCTGCGTGATAGACCTCTTGAATGTTTGCTTCGAAGTCAGTAACATGAACCTGCTGTTTATGACCCAACTGTTTTCCTTTCTCACTCCAAAAGAAAATGCCTTTGTTCATCTTCCAGCTGCATGCACCGGGCAGGAAGTTACTAGTGCAAAATGGATAAAGTTCTGAAGAGGTTGAAGTCAGAGCGTTTTCTCGGAAAACAAGAAATATCTGACTTGTTCTACTATAAATGTGATAGTGACTCTGATAGTGAGTGTGGCAGGGGCGAACAAAAAATTGTGGCCACAGACAGTGAACATGTTTCCACCCAGACTAACGATTCATTAGGAATATGCAGATTATGGGTAAGTTAATACTGACGTTTTCATTTTCAGTATATTGGTGAATTGTAAGTGATACATTCAAGTGATAGTGACTTTGGTAGAGACTGTGGCAGGAGCGAACAAAAAATTGTGGCCACAGGCAGTGAACATATTTCCACGCAGACTGGTGATTAATGAGGAATATTCTGATTATGGCAAAGTTAAGAATTCACAACCTCACTTTTTATGAAAATTGTGAAGTGCGAACATGCCAAGGGGAAGTATCCTTCTAGGCAGTGCTGTGTTTGCGCAGTAAATAACAAAAGAAGTATGACTGTCTACATGTGCAAGTTCTGTGTAATGCCAATTCACAAAGGGGGATGGTTCCAGAAATATCACACTCTCAAGCACTTCTAGGAGCATTGGTAAGTGTTCTCCAAAAATTTTAGTTCATAAAATTAATTAGGAGATTTTATATTAAATTTTAAAGTGAACAGCGCACAAGTTAGGATAGTAGGTTTAAACATGCCGATCCCCAGGGTGATTTAAGGGACGGCCCTTTAAATTCCGGTAATGGCTGCGGGACTGATTTAATTTAAATGCCCGCGATTATAAAGCAATAAAAATTGTAATTATTTAATAAAATTGCTGTGATTTCTACAATTTTTGTGATAAACGAACCAAATAAATGCTGCTTTTTTTTCTAGAAAGAATGTAGAATCAGATATTGTAATTTAAAGACTTTATAAAGTGTGTAAAAATTTTTAGACTGATTCCAACTAAAAAATTCCCCAATTTGTCGTCTGTCTACAAGAATTCATTCAGTTCTTGCAAGTATGAATGCGGCTGATGTGGCAACACAGCTGATGCTAATCTAGCCGATGTTTAGTCTTGCATTTCTCAATTTTTATTCACGTACGTTCTTTCGGTATGCAGAGATGTGGGCGAGTATCTATTCGTTTATAAAAACCCTGATTGTTTATTATCGCTTATAGCTACACAACATGTTCTCTGTTCTGACACTGCTGGTGTTAGTTTATAAGAACTTTCAAGGTTAGCGTCCTTACAAAACTGCCCACCGCGTCAGAACAGTCAAGGTTAGCATTCTGCGAAGTTGTGAACCAACCATTGCGTCGTCTCGTTTGGAAGACTCGGACATACTTCATCTCATAAATGACTCCGAATCAGATTGTTGTACCGACAATTCTGAGAGTGGTGTTGAGGAAAGTGAATCAGAAATTGATTTCGACGAAGAACCATCATCTTGGTCGGCAACCTGGGGACCACCACACCAGCATGGCAAGAGGAGTGTGCATAATTATTCAGGTGGAGCTGTGGGCATACTGTGGCAAACAGTTATAGCATCTGTCGTCGAATCTGGAAATGGACAAATAAACTATTTTTCCATCTCCTGGATCTGACAGTTACATCCTGTTGTCACACAGAGAATTTCGTCTCGCTCTTGTGCGGAATATGCTGGAGGGGTCCACTTCGCCCTCAACAGCCCAGGGGTCGAACCCCTGCAGTTTCATCAGAGATATCTCGATTAGAGGAGACCAAACCACATCACTGGCTGTTGATTTCGACGAAGAACCATCATCTTGGTCAGCAACCTGGGGACCACCACACCAGCATATCAAGAGGAGTGTGAATAATTATTTAGGTGGAGCTGTGGGCAAACTGTGGCAAACAGTTATAGCATCTATCGTCGAACCTGGAAATGGACAAATAAACTATTTTTCCATCTCCTGGATCTGAACAGTTATATCCTGTTGTCACACAGAGAATTTCGTCTCACTCTTGTGCGGAAAATGCTGGAAGGGGTCCACCTCGCCCTCAACGGCCCAGAGGTCGAACCCCTGCCGTTTCATCGGAGATATCTCGATTAGAGGGTGCCAAACCACATCACTGGTCGACTTCCTCTACTTCGCAGTTGAGGTGTCGTGTGTGCTCTTCGCGTGGGAAACGAAGAACCGTCCGGACAAAGTGCGTGAAGTGTGACGTCGGACTCTGCATTTCCAGATGATTCCAAGAATTCCACACGAAGGCAACATTCTGTTAGATGACGCAGATGGGAAGACAGACAACTTATAAAGCTGGTGTCCAAAAATCATGTAAGTAGAACAAGAATTTATACTTAAAATTATATTTAAAGGTTAAATATCTAAATCGCCGGTCCGCGAGAGAGAGGTTCTTCCGGCAAGATTCCATCCCGGAACCGTCTAGTTGTAAATCAGCAATTGTCCTCCCATAGGCCTAGGATGTCACTATTGTCCCTAACGTCGCCTGTTTGCTCCCAGTATCGTGAACTCATGAACTGACCTTGTGCGAGACCGGCCAGAAGGGGTCTTGGGTTCTCTGATCGTGTTCCTTGAAGACCTAAAGAGAGTTTATGGACATCTAGAAAAATACGAATGTAGGACAGATGCTAGGCTCGACCCTGGTCTTTCTCTTTTCATTCTTCTAATTTTCCTCGTTTTTTATGCCAACTGGGGTACTGGTAAAGAGAGGGCAGTTGTTTACAGGGAGTGGTGGTGGACAGTTGAAAAGGGAGTTACAGGATGGTAGCTAGGGAGTGACGTGTATGGTCAGTGAACTCGGGGCAAATTGACGTACAAAGGATAAGTGTGACGGAGCGGCAAGCTTGGAGGAATAAAATAAAGATTAATTCATGTGTGAAATTAAAAATTAGGTCTTCAATACACGGTGTATTTTGGAGATCCCTGAATTATTAACCCCGAATTGTGTTCAACTCCCATCTCCGAAGCACCCGTATCCTGAGATAAAGAACTCAAGGTCTAGTGACAGTCGTGGCAGATGTACTTCGGCGGAAGGCTAAAGTCTACATGGTTATGGGGAATGCCTTTTCTAATTGCAACGCAGTTCCTCCTTTTCTGACAAGTGGCGGTCGAGTCTATAAAAGTGGTAATTTGGAATGAAGAACCTCTCATGCGGTCTTAGATATGTCTCTAAAAACAAGGCCACATCAACGTTTAGATCTTGCAGCTGTTTGCTGACCTCACAGCACCAACAGCTGATGAGTCCCTTTTAATTTCAGTCCCACCTGGTTTCCCTGGACCTTCCTAATTGCATATTCTAAGGCAAAGTTGAAAAGGAGTGGCAATAAAGCATCTCCTTGTTTTAGACCATTCTGAATAGGAAATTTATCAGACAAATATTTACCTACACGGACTTTATTATACATTTCGTTTAAACACATTTTAATGAACCTAAATAGTTTCATGGGTATCCCAAAAAAGTTCATTTTCATTAGACAATATTTTATCAGCAAAATGACTACAGGGTATTCTTTCCTGCACAGGAATTTTCATACCAACCTTCAGAAATTCATCAGTGATTTTTTTAAGTTTACTTTAATATTCTATAGAAGTTACACAGCAACAAATTAGTTCAGCCTCTCAGGAAATGTCATACACTATGCTCTGGAATTTCAGAGCTCAGATCCGAAATGTTATTTCACACAGTGGATAATATATTGAATATGTTCATTGCAAAGTGAATCTCTCATATTTTCTTAATATTTTAATATCAAATTCATGCCATTCAGATTTATCATTTTCAATTTACACACAAGTGAAATAGTGTGATAAACAAAAAATTAACTTGCACTTACTTTATAATTACAAGCTCTTTTCTTCAATAGCTTTTTGTAGCTTTCAGTAGCTCCTGCTGGCATGGCCTGTGAAGCAAGATAGTTATAAATCTCTGTGTAATAAGATAAATCTCTGTCATTAGAATGTCCCTGATGTAGTTCCATTAGGAGGGACACCTGCCCCTCTGAACAAATATCAACACCTTGGTGACTGGACTCCATACTGCCATCAGCATTTAAACATGGAAGGCGCTCATCAACTTCAACCTGAAATTATCATGCAATAAAAGCAGAGTTAATACATAATAGTCATAATAATAATAATAATAATAATAATAATAATAATAATAATTATTATTATAATGTTTGCATTGAATGCTATGACTTTGAGGGGCCTCTGAACTCTAGTGATCATTTTGTTTCATGAGGTTTAATACAATTTTTGTAATGGCCATTATTTTGTCCACCTCAATCACTGCACCATTGAACTCTGTCAATATCTGCTGTGTTACCGTCATTACTCTCAACATATTCTCGAGAGGTTGATTGTTTACATTAGGAGCCTGAACTGACTGACCTGTTTCCTTCTGCAGTGCAAGGGCCGGTATAATCTGCTTCCTTGTTGGGGGTGGAGCCACCGGAACATGGCTTTCCTGAGGGCGCTGTTGCTGCTCTACTGTACTGCCTCGAAGTGCCGCCGCGAAGGAGACACCTGGAGTGACGACGGTGAAAGAGAACACCCTCCCTGTGGTTGTTTTGGGCGTTATCTGAGCTTTCATTTTCTGTTGCTCCTCCTTGGCATATTTGCAACCCCGATAAATGGCGGGATGCGGCTTTTCTCCTTCTGTTAATCGGCAGTTTCGACATACTGGGCTGGAGGCAGAGTTCTCCCCTTCTGGGCACTCCTTGTGTAGGTGGCTACCTCCGCACCAGAAACAACTTGGGGGGTTGCTTGCAGTTTGCCCAAACGTGGCCGACGTGCTGACAGTTATAGCACTGTGTAAGCCCGTTTTGCGCTTTGTACACCTCTACCCTGATGGCAATGTGGCAGAGGTTGGTCACTCGCAAGATTTCTTGGGAATTTTCCGTTCTTGGTGGGGTCAAAAGGAACAAGGGAAGATTCATGGTCCTTGCTCCTTCTGGAGGTGTGCGACGACTGGTTGTCATTTGTTTGACGTTAATAACGTCAAAACCCAGACTCACCATATCGTCAGAGATATCCCCCTCTGCAGTATTTTTCGGGAGGTGACGGATAACAACTTTGATGTGAATTTCGGATATTGGCTAGTAGGAAATATATGCAAGATTGTTACCCTCCAGAAATTTCTTGATGACTGAAAAGTCTACAATTTCTTTCCTGACAATTCTGGTCCCGCTATGATGTTGGGGAACTCAAAATTGCCATTGACAGTGCCTTTGATATTCCTCTGGAACTGTATCAGGTTTCTTGTAGAGGTTAATACATGGGAGGCGGCCTACCTGATCTGCTGCAAGATGACTGCTGTTGTTCCTTGTCGGTTGTCTCCTCCGCGACGTCCATTTCTGTTGTCCTCAGAGGCATAAAGATGATTCTTGTTTGTACTTCAACCTAGGAGTTTATCCCAGAGTACTCGGGCCAGGTGTCGGCTTTGAGGTCGGGTCTGTCATTTATCAGTCAGTCTGTATTAATAAGTCCACTGTCTCCATTTACATACAT